TCTACAGCTGAGTGATACACAAATAAGCTACGCTTTTGTTAATAATTAAGGTACTTGAATGTATTTTTCCTTTTTAACTTCTGAGTTCAGTGTCACTTTAAGCTCTTTCGCAGGCATGTTCATGATTTTATTGACTATTTAGTGATACTTGTTTAAGGTAACAACAGACATTAATAGTTATAACCACTTAACATGTGACATGAACAGTTCATGCCAGATTAAACCCTTGAGTTTTTTGAGACAGATGGGCCTATTTACTAATTTAATGGTTTTCAGTCATCCTTGTTCAGATGTGTAGCTGCTGTGAAATCTCCTAAAGGGTTCACACTTAAAATGTCACAATATTTACAGACAAAAAGCTTTTAGGGTCTCATTTACATGGGCATGCACTTATATACAGTATATTTAGGTGCCTTTATAGGACATTTGTAAATGCATACAAATTATACAATGCACACTGTCTATTTACTTTCAGGTGCATTTATTTTAGCTCCATTTAAAAAAAAAACAATAGGTGTGTCCCGGGGCAGGTTAGATTTATAGACACATGAGTAACTCTCCTTAATCCATTAATTATGGATTGTGTGTTGCCAGATGTTTTTTGTCCAAGAACATGATGAAGAGTATATTGAGGAAACGAAGTAACCTCTTAACATATGGATGGCTCAGCATAGGAGGGCAAACTCTGCAGGTCAAGACTCAGAAATATTTCTACACAAAGGGACATTCTTTTGAGGACAGTGAGGTGCACATTTTGGACTTAAAGGACAACTAGTTTGCAAGAGGTGTGAAAGAAGCCATCTACTTCAAACTGTAGCAACCATCCATAAGCAGGGATGGAGGCCTTCAACAGGACCTGCCATGCAGATAGATATTTGAGAACAATTTAGACCTTTAGCAATGTGACTCAAACAATTAACATCTGTAGTCACAAGGATAACTACATGCATCAAGACAGATCTTTATTGTCCAAGATGACATACTGGGATTGGATTATGTAATTAGAACAGGGTGGCTTCACAAAATGTCATGCTTCCCTTCATGTTCTTGGACAACAAAGATCTGTCTTGATGCATGGAGTCCCCTTGTGACTGTTTGCAGCGAAACATTGTTGCGTGAATAGTTTTAGGTGTGTCAGGGGCTCTTATTAGTTATTATTCTGCTTGAACAGTAGCAGAGCTATTTTAAATTGTAACTGAGGAGTTTAACTTTTCTGAAAAAAAGCCCAATGCATCCTTCTTTGGTGGGGGGGGGGGCTACATGCTGAAACCCAGGAGCTGTTTGCAAATATTTGGGGGCATCTGGGGGAGTCCTAAGTAGCACTGAAGTCAGCTAACACTTAGGGTCACCAGATATAGCTAGCTATCACCTTATAAACTGGAATATATTAACAAAACACGTTTGCTTTATTTATATTTGGTTCATGATTGCCAAATCGTAAGCATGTTTAGAACTAAATGGTATTAAAATGTTGTATTGTGGGTGCACACAGATTAATTACAAAGTGCTAGAAAACATAGGTTTAAAATGTTGCAAATCTTATATAGATTTTATTATATAGATTTATATAGATTTTATTGTGCATTGGTATTTTGTTTTGGGGTGTAATTTGTTTTAGGCGGAACTACCCCCTCCCCCCCACTACAAGGGTTAAGTTCCCCTTTTTGTCTAGGAGGCTCAAATAAAGATGTATTATGCGCCTGATCCTCGCTCCTGCTGGCTTCTTCTGGGCTGCTAGACCTGTCCCCCCCAGCCTCTTATCCCAGTGGCTCCTGCTGCCTAAGGACCGCTGACATCATCACATCTTATGCAGGTCCATTAGGCGTGAAGACACCGAGTAACATGCCATAGCCAGAGAGGAGGGGGAGAGAGGTGAGTGCTGAATGCTGCGGGATTGAGGTTCTGGTGAGTAATACAGCTTTATTTGAGCCCCAAAACGATCACTTAACCCTTGCAGTGTGGGATTAGCCCCACTGTAAGGGTAAGTGTTTTCTGTACTTGAAGTTTTTTATTTTATGAATGATAGTGTTTTAAAGTTCCACTTCTAGGATGGTGGGTTTGTACCAAAAAAAAGTGTATCTAAAATCAAAATCTTTTAAAGTTTATAAATACAGAATTTTGAGTTGCCACCAGAAAAGGAATGGATTACAATCTTCTAATGGGGATAATTGTTTCGGTGACAACTTTTTAAATGGGATTTTCCTCACTTTGAACACAACAGGAAGTTAGAGGAAACATATCTAAAAGACAGAAACTGAGGGGAACAAAAATTGGCTTTAACAAAAATTGCATCCACTAATAAATGTCAAAGCCAAATGCACAAAGTAGTACTATAGCAATACAAGTGCATTTAATTCACTCTCGGAATTTGTAGTCCTGTTATAAATTGCACATCACATTCTAGGTGCAGTATAAGAGCCATTGGAATATAATTCTTGTCAACAACAGAAACGGTCGGCCCAGTTGTGTAATGATTTGCATTGGGCTGTTCATGCCATGAGCGACTCTTGCAGGATCCTTGATAGTTTTCTGATGTTGTCTTGTTTTGCTCAAGTAGGTTGAGCAGAGTCCTGAAAATACAAGCTTGGTACCAGGGTCTGACAAAGAGCAAGATGGCAGCAGAAGGGTACTTGATAGTATAGTAGAATTTAGTTTCTGGGTGTTCTTAGTTCACATTTTTAAGCATGTGTTTATAATGCTTGCTTGCATGCTTTTAAGTCTAAGTTTATTTCTTTAGCTGTAGCATTTGACGTTGGTATGTAGTTTTGTCACAATGGGGCTTATTTCAGTCATGCAAACTGAATACCTGGAACCAATTTGCTGCCAGATTTAATTAGGCCTTTCACAGGCAGATATCATTTTTGATAACATTTCCACCAGTCTTTGTTGCCAACACCAAGTGTCATTTTAATGACATTTTGTTCAATTTCTCTGCAACATCCTCTCCAGAAGTTAATGATCCACACTTGGTGGCAGATATTTTCTGCACGCTGGAAAGCTTCTGTAGTTGATAATCGAATTCCGCATCACACATGAAAGCTGGTTCATTAACCCCTGCGCTATCCCAGTTATTGCCAGTGGAGCGAGGGTCATTTTCACTGCTTAAAATTAGGCCTGTATGTCTTGTTATTGACAAAGAATCGGACAGACACAGTAGCCTCTCAAATGATATAATATTGCTTAACAGACCAGCACCATGATCGTTTGATGAATGAGAGACAATTGTATTTATGTTTTACAGGTGCATACATAGCGCTGATAATTTACACAGCACTTTACCTAGTGAACATTCACATCAGTCCCTGCCCTCAAGGAGCTTACAATCTAAGGTCCCTATCTCACATGCATACATACAAGCACAGGGGGAACATGCAAACTCCTTGCAGATAGTTATGTGGCCAGGATTCGAACCAGGGACCACTAGTCCTGCAAGGCAGAAACGCTAACTACTGCGCCTCTGTGCTGCCAATTATTAGCATTTTTATTATCAGCAATTTTATTAGCATAAATGTTCAGTTAATAAAAAACCTGAATGACTGCAGGGTTGTACTTGCTGCTGTTGTGTTAAAACTCATAGCATTGTCTTTCCTGATTGCTAAGTAGGAGGGTCTGTCGGGTGAATTGGTATGTTCATCCCTTTCTTGTAATAAGATGTAAACTGCTCGAAAAGCAGTCAGTGTTGCCATAGTTAGACTTAATGTTGCCATGGTTACACATTTTAAATTTTTGGCAGTTTCAGGAAATGGCAGATTGAAAAAGAGGTAATATTTTAATGACATTAACAAAATAGCTTCGGTAGCGGTTATATATGTTTATACAGAAAAGTGTTTTTGTTTTATTTATAAATAACAAATCTGCCATATGATTTGCAAATAAGCCTCACTGTGATTTAGTGAAATTCTGTGGCTCTGCAGTGAAAGTTTTCTGTGGATAAATGGTGCCCTTATAGACAGGTGTGAAGACCCAAGCTTTTCATACTCTCATTCATGAGTGGATTATGACAGCTGTCAGCGTGGTTCTGTGTATGGAGACCAAAAATACAAATAACTCAAAATCTTCACACCCTTCTAATGGCATTTTAAGTGAAATGTATTGCTTTTCGATTCTCAGATGTATTATATCATTTATGCACATGCCAACTTCTTTTCAGGTGAAAAGGGGAAATGGTTTCCCAGTAGTTGTGTACTGTGCCCTGCAGACCAACAAACCTAAAGATAACATTGTCACATAGGTACCATAATCATAAAAATGTGCCCTATGGGCATTTTGGGAACTGGTGACTTCACTGAGTGCACTATTTGTCCATAAGTTTGTGGACACCTGACCATCACACCTGTATGATCTTATCGAACAGTTCGTTCTAAAACCATGGGAATTATTATGGAGTTGCCTTCCCCCTGTTTGCTGCTATAACAGCCTCCTCTCTTCCTTTCCAGTAAACATTGTAGTGTCCGTGGAAATGTGTTAGCTAAAAATGCATTTGTGAGGGCAGGTCTTGATATTGACTAGGCAACCTGGTTCAAGGTCTACCTTCCAATGCATCCCAAAGGTGTTCATTATATTTGAGGTCAGGGCTGTACAGGCTGCAGGAGTTCTTTCACACCAAACTCTTTGCTTTCTAGACCTGGCTTTGCCCACAGGGGCACAGTCATGTTGTAACAGAAAATAACCTCCCTCAAACTGTTTTTACAAGGTTGCAAATGCACAATTGTGTAAAATGTCCTACCAATACCCTTCAATAGAAACCCTGAATTCAATCATTTGGAGGGGTTTCTACATACAGTGTAGGTGTGATATTTGGGTGTCCATATATTTTGGCCATATAGGCTATTTCACTAATGTCTTAGGCTCCTTATGAAATAGTAGGCTGGTAGCTTAATTATCGCAAAAGCCTGCAAAATAGTTGTCCAGCACCATTTCTAGCTGATGGGTACCCTTTTACAACTTGGAATGTCTTCTTATTCAGGAATAAGTATAATCAAATATTTCTGTTATGTCAGGTTAGAAGAGTTCCGGGCTCAAGTGGCCACCTCCATAAAACAGAAGATGGCGACTGGGAGTGGAGCGATGACGAATTAGATGAAAAAAGTGCTGAATACCAAGATGCATTATCCAAAGAAAAGGTATTGTCTCGTAGGGGAGCCTGGGATGGGGCAGCTTACATAGTTACATAGTATTTGAGGTTGAATAAAGACATTAGTCCATCAAGTCCAACCTATTAGGATCTCATTCTAGGAGTACCTGTACCCCTGTATATTACGGTCCCTTAAGAAATCGTCCAAAAGTTTCTTGAACAATTCCACATTATTTGCTGAAATCACCGCCTGTGGCAGTGAGTTCCAGACCCTAACTGATCTTACTGTGAAGAACCCCCTTCGCCCCTTGTGCTGGAATTTTTTTTCCACCAATTTTAGGTGATGGCCTCTAGTTTTTGTAACGGAGTTAATTTTAAACAGTTTATCGCTAATGTTGCTGCCACCATTAAACATTTTGTACATGGAAATCATATCCCCCCTTAATCTCCTCACCTCCAATGTGAACATGTTTAAATTTAGTAGCCTCGTCTCGTAGCTCTGGTCCTCCATACCCCTAATTAGTTTGGTTGCCCTTCGCTGGACTTTTTCCAACTCAAGGACATCTTTTCTTAGTACACTTGTGTTTGGAAGACATGGGATGCTTTGAAACTCCAAGGCTGACTGTAGAATCATGCTTTGATTTTGGTCTTGCCCCCTAATTTTCACCAGCAGAACTTTCTTGAAGAATGAGAGTCCTTTATCCAGACCCAAGTGACCAACATTTTGGGACAGCACATGTTCCCTGTTTTTTTTGCAATCACTGTGCCTTTAGAAACGGGCCTTTCTTTGGTAATAAAACATTGGTTGGTGATATTCGTTTCAGTGATGTATGAATAAAAGACGATTATTCTTCAAGAAAGGTGTGCTGGTAGAAATACTTACCGTATTTTTCGCTCCATAAGACGCACTTTTTTTCCCCCAAAAGGAGGGGGTAAATGTGCCTGCGTCTTATGGAGCGAATACCTATTGCCCGACGCCCGGGACATGCAGTTTCGGGCGCCGGGCGAGTAGTTTCTTTTTGTACACTCAGCCCTGCTCCTGACAAGCAGAGCTGAATGTACAGTGGGAGCCGCTGTTCGTTTAATACAAGGGATCTAATTAGATCCCTTGTATTAAATCGAGCGGCGGCGGCATCGGCGATCGTGTCCGCCCCCAGCCGTGCTTTTCTGGGTACCCCGTTCCTCTGGGGGACCGTGACCCGTCACGGTCCCCCATAGGAGCTCATTGAACGTCGTTCTTCGTCTGCTCCGTGTGATTACTGAGACAGCGCCACCTGTCTCAGCAGTCACTAACTGCAGCTTCTGTGACAGAATTTCTGTCATAGAATTTCTGTCACAGAAGCCATGCGTCCTATCGTCCGGAGCGTCTTATAGACCGCAAAATAGGGTATATGTTGACTGTAGAATCTGACTATAAGTATGTATATTTTACTTGACCTCTCCTGGCTTGGGCAATATAAGACAATGTCATTTGTACAAATACAGTAACTGCAGGCTGGCTACAAAGGGATGTGCCCAGAAATGTTTTAGATAGAAGGGGGGTTTACACTTCCATACCCAGTATACATATTATTCACAATGCTTAATGTTAGGCATCAGGCTAATGTCTTTTTTTCTCCTGCTTAGTCAAGACGAATCGATGATGACAGTGAAAATGCAGAGGTAAGTGTCCTAATATGTTTTTTCAATATTAATTTAGTTTAATTCATGTGGGCTATAATATGAGACATGTATAGTTTATATTAATGGGTTGGTTTATTAAAAGTGGAGATGTTTCCCACAGCAATCAGATTTATGGTTTAAGGTTTTTCCTTAATTATGAATCTTATTGGTATAACTTAAAGTTTATAATTTCTGTATATGTAGATGGTAGAAGAGGTATTTTTTAAATTGTAACAGTTTAAATAAACCATCCTAGAGCTGGTTCTGTTTAGAAAATTGCCTTTAGGGGGGCCTTAAAAATGCATCTATCCTTAAGCATACTAAGAGCACTTATAGGGTTTCTTTGACTGGTTAGCTGATCTGGACATAATAAGCCCAATAATGAGAGTAGCATGCAAAGTTTATTGTATGTAGAGTATTCTGCAAACTGATTGAGCTTTCATCCTGAAATGTGGAGGTGAATGGTGGGAATGGAATATTTTCTCCTATAATAGGCATGGCAACAGTGATCTATCCCATTACACTGCATATAAGGTAAATATTATATGACAAATCTTCATTTAATCCTTGACTTGGCTTGATGGATGTGGATTCACTTCAACAAAACATATTGACTTTCTAACACCAGGCCAATTTTCTCAGTAGTATGCATTCACTGCTGTTGCCCAAAGACTCCTGCTGCCATGTTCTTTTGTTATATTGAGCTTGACTTCGTATTGATTTTAGAACATTGGGAGCTGCTACCAGAGGAGTGGAGGCAAGGAATATTTCTGCCGTACGTTAACCTAATAATACATTGTCCCCTTTCAAGCTCCTCAATTCTTGCAAAATGAAGGCCAATTACTGTAGGGTGAACATTTAAATAATGTTTTATTTTTCTTGGAAAGCCAACAACGTCATAGCTGTAACCTTTCTGTGAATAAACACATATGAAGCTTGATTTAATTAATTATTGCCTCAAAACATACATCATTAATCTATACTGTGTGCAATACAAACAAACCACATACAGACAGTACTGCACTTGTTGTATTATGAATGCCTTCACATCTTTCCAATATAGTTGTAACACATATAATTGAAACTGGGGTCAATTCACAAAGATTATCGCACAGGTTATCGCTCCTTAAAATATGAATAGCTTGAGGCTGGCATAATGTGACTGAATTGTCACTTCCTTGCTTCCTAGAGGTCTTGCACATCATCTTACAGTGTCCCCAGCTCTGCCGAAATACTGAGCCTGTCTGATCATGAAAATTGCAATGCATGCTTATTTAGCTGATGTTTTTTTTAGTTTTTTTGTTCTTACAACACCTATAAATGTTTTTTAAAAATGCATTGGAATGGATTCCTATACTTGTCCTTCAGGCTCTCATTGAACCTTCAATGGAGCAAAGAGGATACTGCCCTGACTTGTGGCATCTTCATTTGTGTGTAAAGTTCAGCTTGAGCTAGTTAGCTCTATAAACAGCAAGTGTTTTAATACAGAGGGGCATAGAAGTCCTAGATAAGCATGTGAAAAGGAGCCTGAGCTTTACCTACTGGCTCATAAGAATACCATATATAAACATGCAATATTTCATGTACATCTGGCTAAAAAGGAAATGTTTTTAGATTTCATTATTTAGCCCTAAAAACAAGCAAAATAAATACAAAACTTTACATTCACGTTAAGAAAATATTTGCAAGAGGATATCCTTCTTCCTCAACCCTCAACACCAGATCTTTAACATTGTAAATCTTATTAAGAGTTACATTTGGTGGAGCAGATTGAGAAATTGAATTTCAGCCTATTCTTGCTGAATTGGCTGAAAATTCGAGTCACGAGTAGCCTTGTCGTCACCACCTGGCTCCACAAAGTTCGAATTAATAAATGAATGGTGCCAGGTGGAAAATTCTCGGCCACACAATGACTATTCAGTCAGATGCAGTCATTCTTACAGCTGTGGGTGCCGGCTGTCTAAATGTAATCGTTGGTATTAGAGATTCCCCCACCCACATTGTTCATTTTGGATGGGGGAATCAAGGGATTTCTCTCTCTTTCCGGTGAAGCTATTTTTAAGCATGTTTCCAACTGCATGATGTCTGAAACTCAGAATGGTAGCATTTGAACCGTGGATTCTGGGAGATTTGTATGGCCCATTTTTCACACTGTCATTTTAAATTAATTTATTCAAGGGAAAAGATTGCAATTGCAATGAAAGTGTTATAATCACATTTTTTTCTCTTAACTATGGTCATAGCCACTTGACTTTATGATTGGAGTATCTATTTAAAAGGTACATGTATTTTAAATACAGATGCGCAGTGACTCCCCCTACCCCAGGCTCTGCATTGGTTATTACAATTAAATTGCTTTCTGAAGTTTTCACGGTTAAGCCTAGCTGGCCTAATGCAGCCTTTATACCTTTGGCACAGTTTTTGGCCCACAACCTTGTGAAGACGCATACAAACAGGAAGCAGCACACCAACCAATACTACCCCCACCCCCATCTCTGTCCCCCTGCCACCTATTCCCTTTATACCCCCCCAAACAACAACAAAAACGACCCCCCTCCCTTTCCAGACGGTGGTGCATTACTGGGCTGCTCTTTGAACTTTTCATTTGGCCCACAACCTTGTGCATGCTCAGGACAGTGTTTCAACATCAAGTTCAGGCTGTCTCTATTTTTTTCCTAGTGCATGTGAAGGACAGACTGCCATTATTTAGTTATGACTGTTAATATATATATACAGTAAACTCCCAGTTATCCGGCACCCACAGGGATCGCTAGATGCCGGATAAGTGTAGTTTCTGATTGCCTGAGAGTTAATAGTAACTCTAGCAACTTCCTCCCGCAGTGAGAAAGTTCTCTTTCAGGTCCGCTCCTCTGCTCAGTAGGTGGGTGCAATATAGGGTTGCCACCTGTCCAGGATTCACCCGGACAGTTCGGGTTTTGAATGCTGTGTTCGGGTTTCATGTCAGCAGAAACCCGGACACAAGATGTCAGGCACACAGGAGAAACCAAAATTAAGATAGGGGCTACTGGCCCCCCACTGAAAATAGTCTCAACTGTGATATTTAAATATGAAGGGGTGGCGGTATTTACATATGAAAAAGGCACAACTCATTCTTCCAAGAAAATTTCTGTGTGTCACTAGAGTGTTCGGGTTTCGATGGAAGAAAAGGTGGCAACCCTAGTGCAATAGCCAGCCTGCTATTGGCAATTACAATTTGAAATAACCAATAGCTGGCTGGCTTTTGCTCCACGTTGTTTAGATTCTGCTGTGAACCACAGAATCTAGCTGCTGGCAGGCAGCAAGTTGTAAACAAATAATTTAATTAGCAATAAAATAAATGTAGTTGGTAATTAAATTTTTCAGTGACCCCATGTCTATCAAGCAACCAAAAAAATTAATAATCAAGAACATATTTGTTCTCGATTTTATTTTTGCCGTTTGCTTGAGAGTGCCAGTTCCTTGAATACCATATAATGGCGAGTTTTCTGTACTAGACTATAGGATGAAACATCAGCACAAAGGGTGCAAAGGCTGTGTCTGCCCTGGGTAATTATCACCATTTACCCTCATCTAAGGTTAGATGTGTTATGTTGATTACTGCTGAAGGGTTTTGGGGTAGGATGGTATTGCTTTTATTTATATTGCACTTATACCTTAAAGTAGACTTTCTATGTAAAATTGCATTCAACGGTATAATGTTAAAGTCTCACTCTGCTTTTTTAAAACCTACTATATATTAATAGCGATTGGCATTTTCCAATGCCAAACTGATAAGGCAATTCCTGCTTGATTCACTGTTCATGTCATGCATTCATTTCCTTCCTCCCTGGTGTCTGCTGTGCACTGATGTTAAGGTGTCTGAAGTTTCACAAGACTTCATAGAGTGTGTGGAAGAATTGAGACTAGGAACTATATTTTCTGCAATCAGTCTGAACATTGCCAAATATGGCAGCTTTAGGATATTTCCCACACAGATTGTAGACTCTGTTCATCAGACAGTGGCACCAGCAACTTCACCATGTGATTATATTAACTTGAAATTGGATATTATTAAAGATAGATTTTCATCATAATGGGGAATATTCTTCAAGCTCCATTTTAAAAAGTGTCCGGGTGTTAATTTTTGTAATCAATGCTGGCACTCTGTAGAGTATATTATGTGGCATTAAAACTTTTAATTACCGACAAAAACTAAAAAGCATATGATTATACTTTAGAAGAGTTTTGTAATACCACATAAATTGCGCTGCCACCGAGTCCCGCTGGCGTTGAAATTACAGATGCAATTACAGCAGTAATATGTGCCTTTGTGTTGTACAGAGGCAAAATGGACATGGAAATTGAGTGATTAGGGTATGAAATGGCTCTCTGACTTTGCCTGAGTATTAAGAGTGGCCAGCGATTAAAATACCATTTACTTTGACATTATCAGTGTATTAAGCAGCAGTGACAGTGGAAGAAAAATGTTATGTCAGTCTCCTGAATTTTGCCATGACTGTCAATTTAAAATCTCTGTTTACTCAAGTTTTACTTTTTATCTTAAAGGAAAATGATATTGGTTTTTGACAATTGTATTATTCTTTTAGTCAGATTTAATTTTTTCATGCAGTTATTTGTATTTAATAGGGGGTTCATCTATAACACAGTTTACAGAGGATTCTTGGCTTTCTATTATGAAATCCCAGCACTACTTTACCGGTCATTGATAGGCAGAGTACAGCAACCTCAAATATTCTTGTCTCTACGAGTTGTGTCCTTAATCTAGTTCATTCAGGTCAGTTGTAGCACAACACCTGTAAGAAAGAGGGCCTTTAACTACCTGCAGACCGGCCACTGTATTAAAACGGCCAATCCGCTGGCCAAACACATGTGGGCACGCGGCCACTGCTGACTGTCATTAGACAGCGTAGAACTGCGGCTTTACAAGAGGAGCCGATCGGACTGGCTCTGTGTCCTGTGATTTCGGTAATTGGTTGTCACAGCGATCACATAGCAATGTTTACATTGCCAAGCCCTCTCATTTCTCTTACATCAGAGGCAGGGGAGAGTAAAGTGAGTAATAAATGGCTGAGTCATCCATATATGACTTACTAGTGGAAACAAGCTGCAATAGCAGCCAAAAAAAAAAAAAAAAGTTTCAAATGATTTTTAACTCTTTTAGGCCCCCCTCCTCTCCTGCGTATGTTAGATCCATTCTGTCTAGGCTCTGACCTGTGTATTAACCCTTTCACCTCCCTTATCCTGCACATCTATACGTTAACCCCTTCATATCTATCCTCTCACTGCATGTGACCTGTACATTAACCCCTTCACCTCTGCCTCTCTCTACCTATGATCTGTACATTTATTATATCTCGTGCACCATTACCAAGCTACATGTGTTAACCCTCTCAATACCGCTAGATTTCTTCATTTCCAAAAAATTGTGACAAAAAGATGAGATCACTTTGGAATGTCTACTTTCCAAAAAGGTGTAATTTCGGGGTTTTTTTCATACTGTCCTTTATTTGCTATGCTTTTTAAACAAAAGTAAGACAAACATATATATGTATGAAGGAGGAATTCTCAGCCAAACTTGCACAGCACTGAAAACTGAAAAATGGCCTGGTAATGAAGGGGCTGTAACATGTAACATATAAAACAAGTGTTTTATGAGCACTTAGCTTGGACAGAGCTATCTACCTTCTGGTGGGCAAATTTACCCGAGTTTATAGGAAACTAAAATGTTCCACACAAAAACAGGAAGATAATACAATAACAAGGTGATGAGATAATTAGACCGGATCACCTATGCAAACAACAATACCATTCGGATTTGAGGACCATATATAGAACTGTTGTGATACTAGCTCTATAACTGTGTACCGATCTTTGATTCCTCTCTATTTTACAGAATTACTGTTTTTAATTATCTTGTGTGTTGCTTTGGAATGCATTCTATGTATTGACCTCATCCAAATAAATAATGAATTAAAAGTAAATAAGATATCTGTGCAGGAAAAACGCAACAGATTTGCTTTAATTCCCCCTCCCTGGCAGCACTTACGGTATTTTGTTTCCCTGTCACTCTATGTGGGGAACAAAGAAAATATATTTCAGGTATGGAGTAGCAGTTAACCCAGTCCACTTCCTTTTATTGCTAGTGCATGGTGGTAAGCCCAGCACTGTCACATAAAGATGGGGATACATCAATAGCCTGGTGTAACCTCAGTGGCTGAACATAGTGGCAGAGCAGTGAAGAAAAGGTGGGTATGTGCTGCTGGGAAGGTGGGGGGCATTAAAGTGAACTTCTGTTAAATTCCCTGTATGAGACATTTCTACTAATATTCAGAGAACTTCTGCCATGCAGCACTGAGGGTCCACTGTTCAAGTCCTGGCCAGGTCACTACCTGCAAGGAGTTTGCATTTTCTTTCTGTGCTTGTGTGGTTTTCCCCCGGGTACTCCGGTTTGTACACAAGGCATGTAAAAGGTGGGGTGTTATAAAGCCTGAACTTCTACTTTAAGAAAAATCTGCAAAGACAGAAATCTCCTGGTTAAAAAAAAGCATGCGCAGGGTAATTAAACTGAAAATAATTAATTACGTGGTTTTTATGTTTACCATAAATAACTCTGTTATAAACTTTAATACAGCATGTACGTACTGAAGTTTTAGTTTCCGGCTGCATATATTTCTTTAATGTATTCCTTTTCCATTCCTGAGGAAGCCAGTTTACATCTGCTACACCCTGTATAGGATAAACATCGTGACAGTTATCATCAGTATTGCTTTGTATTTATGAGCATACTACCTATGAAAATAAACTTGTTTCTAGAGGCTTCTGCTAAACTGGACTTATGTCGGGGTTGTATAATCGCTTAATGAAACCAAGCCAAGGGAAAAGGGGAGCTTCTGCTTGTGCTGTCAGGTAGTGTTAGTATTAAACAGATGTTTATTATGCAAGTTGTAATGCCTTCTCCTTCTCTACTTAGACTTCCACAGATAGCAATATGCAAACACGATTGCAGAATATGACTGTACATGATACTCAGGTAAGCAGTTCTGTAAGCTTCTGAATTCATAAATAATGTATCCATCCATATGTATTCTAGCACAGTAGAACCTTCTTAGGACAGGAGGAATTCACATGTCTCATTCCATCACAAGTCCCAAAAATAAGAGAAAGTGAGCTGATCTATGAAAATCATTCCTTTATGCCCCTGGGTGAACTGACCATTTTTAATGGCCGATGTGTAGCACAGATACATTCTAATATTATAGAGCCATTTATTAAAAACTGCATACTGTTGTTTCATACAAGCTTGTTGGTCATCATCTTTGGAGTGAATGGACACCATGGTTTCCATAGAGTAGGAGTTGGGGAGCAGCCTGCCAGGTTATTAATTCCCATGAATGTGTTCTTGAAATACTGTATAGTAGCAATATATCTAAAATGGACCCGTAAAGTATACTTTCTCATATGCAGCTGTAGTTACTAGGGATGAGCTTCAGTTTTGAGTCAACTACGAGTTTGACTTTGACTTGAACCCAAGTTATTTGCTGAATGGGCGAATGATTTGGACAGTTTGCCTTCCCGCTAAATCTCACAGGGCTATTCACAAAAAGGTGAAGAGCTTGGAGAAGGCAGGAGAAGTGAACAATCATAGGACAACATAGCTAAACTGGAAAGTGAGCTGAATTGGAGAATTTTTCTAAATTAGCTATTTTGGCCTAGATTGTTCACTTCTCCTGCCTTCTCCAAACTCTTCACCCTTTTGTGAATAACCCCCTCAGTCTTTGTCCTAGCAACCATTGGCTCTGTTCAGCAAACACAGTGTCATTGGATGACTGGTGGCTGAACCACACAGCATTATTGATTGCTTGGAAGTAGGCAGGCACACCATTACAACCTATGACACCATGGGGTCACCAGCATCTTAGCAACCAATTACGTTGTGTGGCCCAGCTGGTGGTGTCCTAGCAGTTACTTTCAGACAATGTTGATAGTGATTGTATAGTGGTTTTCCATACCTTTATGTATTATGTTCATAAATAAATAATAAAATACTTTGATTTTTTTAAATTAGGTTAATATTAAATATTACTCATACATATGTTATATTTTCCCTTTCCCAAACAGTATTGGCTTGCCCTGTACTCCAGGGTTTCAGTTCCTTTTTTTGCCATATAAAATGATTTGAACACACAGGCACTTCTTCAGAATAAGGACACAATGCCATCCTGCTCATTTATAACGGCAGTGCTGTCTAGATCGTTATTCTGCAAGAGCAGTCAAGTGCGGTGCTATTGCTGGGCTCTAACTTTAAAGTGGGCCTACTAGATATCTTTTTTAATACTAAGCACAAGTGCATGTAATATGCAAGTGTAACACTTCCCGGTATTTTTTACCTCTCACAAATATCACAGTACTCCCCCTGACAATGCCTTTGTGAGTTTTTTTTTCTTTTCAGAAGGATGGATCTTTGTTCAGGCATTTTCCAGGTCAGCATCTACTTGCTGGCCCGAGATTTTGTTTAGAGATGACACAGTCATGTAACTCCTGGTTTGAAGGCAGTTCATGGTTTTGTTCAAAGATATCTGACACAAATCTGCCCCTGACTGGCTTACGTGTCAGAGTCAGATTGCTGCTTTCTTCTACCTGCTGCAGAGTAATGACATAATCTCAGTCTAGGCAAAATCATTGCTCAATACTTAAAGGAGAACTAAGTGTTTTTCCCCATAGTTCTCCTAAGGGTCACGGGAGGACACAAACTAGCTACAGCTCGCTGTATACTGAGACCGCCGCAGCCGGGACGGATCCCGACATTACTGTCGAGATCCACCCAGCTGTCGAGATCACTCACCTCATAGTTCTCCTTTAAGGACTTTAAAAAAAAGGTACAGTTGCTGTATTATGTTATATGTCAGGAATGTATTTGTGCAGACCTGTGAACTTACAAAAAGGTCCACTTTAAACAGCCCAGCATGCATTACTGTACACAAACTAAAGCACGGGGCACACTGTATTATTGATTTTTTTTTTTTTTAAATTGTGATTTATTCAAGGAAATAGGAATTAGATAAAATATTAGTTTAAAAATTAGATATATTATATAATGTAACAAAAATGCCAAAAAAGGTTTCCTTTCACATTAATCTTCATTAAGAATCTTCAATAAACCTGAACCATGAGTTTCTTAAAAGCTGTACTACGGCTTTCCGTTTAGTCTGGCACATTTGTACCGGCTCCTCTCCCTCTCCTGTACTGAATTTGCTTACCCTGATTTCACTGCACACTGAACTTTTCACATTAGAAGCTGCAACAAGTTAGATGGAGCCTGTCTCTTTTCCAGTTTGGAGGACGTCCAGCACCTCCCCAGCCTGACTGTCCATCGCCTGCCTGTCTGTTTCATTAATTGTTTTCAGGTCTTTATATCATGGAGGCTTAGCATCACATGTGGGTGTTACCTTGGATGGTTTGTATGCAATTACAGCCTACTTAGAGATGCCCACTCCTTCACATAGACATCCACCCATCAAGGTATTTTGATATTTCTATTCTCTTCCAAGAAACAGCCCACTGCTTGCATCAGGGCTGAGAGTTCTTGCAAGAGGTAGAGTGCTGTGTTGTTTCCAAGAAGCTATTCACAGCTCCCTGCTGGCCCTCCCATCAGCCACATTCTGCACACATTGCATAGAGACGCACTAGATCTAAACCAAGGAATGTAATGAAAATGGAAACATTTTATTTAAAACGTCATTAGCATGTGCAAATATTGCCTTCTTAGGGATGCCCACTCCTTCACATAGACATCCACCCATCAAGGTATTTTTATATTTCTATTCTCTTCCAAGAGGCAGCCCACTGCTTGCATCAGGGCTGAGAGCGCTTGCAAAAAGTAGAGTACTGTGTTGTTTCCAAGAAGCTATTCACAGCTCCCTGTTGGCCCTTCCATCAGCCACTTTCTGCCCACATTGCATAGAGATGCACTGGATCTAAACTAAGGAATGTAGTAAAAATTGAAACGTTTTATTTAAAATGTCATTAGCATGTTGATGGGATTGTGGGTGGGGAACACCAGGGAAGACAAAATTCTATTCATTGCAAATAGCACCCCATGCACCTGCAAAATGCAAGTGTACTGGTTTTTGCTGCATTGCAGAAAAAGTGCATGCTGTCCTGTGTATTATATAGCCTTGACAATAAATGCAGGCAGACCCTATTTTTGGACTGCATGCATTGATGTGCATTGCAGCCCATTCATTTGGAATGGTCTGCTTTGCTTAGCATGCCGCAAAAAGTGTCAACGCATATAAAGCATTCACTGCAGCCCTCTTCGTTGTGATGCACATGGACCCTCAAAGTGCTTGAGGGATATTCTAATGTTACCACATTATTATATTAAATAGTCTGTTGTTTCATGTTATAAGAACTTACACTGGCCTTCAGTTGTATTACTGGACTGCAGGTCAGCTGTGCATAGCATCATTTTATTTCAAGTTTAGCAAGGACTGTTTTGAGAAACCTATTTTGCTGATAACATATTTATTTTGCTGAATCAAACAAACTTGATTAGAAAATATAGAAATGTTACTTTGCTCAGCAACCTCAAGTGCAGTTTATTTTATGTGACTGAACAGCTCTTATAATCCATTTCCTTTGTTGTTAGGCACAAACCAATGAAAGCCATCATGATAATAGAAATCCATCTGTGATTAACCTTGTTCTGCGGTTAAGGTAAGACAGACCAGTCTTTTTGTAGCAGTTAAACCTGGGTTGAAGATGGAAGTGGCTTGTAGCCAATAATTAAATATTGGTTGCTTTGCCATCTTGCCAAACGCTTAGGCTTAGTTGGAGTTCTATATGAAAAGTTTGTTTTCTTAAGAAGGAAATATAAGAGTCTATTTATAAACTTTATCACACAAGATTCACACAACTTTCAGACATTTTTCTACCTGGATTTACTTGGAACAATATGTGCATCCTGGGTGAACATTTGTGGGAATATTGTGTGAAAACATTTATAAATAGACCCCTTAGTATTGTTTAATTGTTTTTATAACTTCAGGCATTCATAGTGGTAACAGGAGTGCCTCCACTAATTGGCGAGTTCTGTTCTTTTCTATGGTATATAATGTTATATCACTTAAAGTACAACTTAAGCCATTACTTTTTTTTGGATAGAGTAAGGTAGAGTAATAACCCTGGCCAGGTATACTATTGGGGTGATTTTCATTCACTTTTCTTCCCAGGAGCCACAACAGGAAATAAGAGATTGGAAGATTTGCCAGCTATTCCAGTTCTGGTGACTTTCTGTGATAACGGTCATCGGAACAAATAGAGTAAGGGAATCTACCTAATGGGCACACAGACAGCAACAAAAACCTGACAGGTGTTAAATTCCCTCTCCACTCTATCCAAAACTAAAAATTCATTTTGGCTTAAATTGGACTTTACCTTGTTTGTGTAGTATACCTAATATGCCATTACAGCTAAGTTTGCGAGCAGGGAACCTTAGGGTGTCCCCTACCAGCGCTCCCTGTGCTTTAAAGGGGACCTGTACTGAGAGTTAATATTTGCTGTTTTATAGGGAAGAAATAGACTGGTTAAAGTGTGTGTATAGTCATTTTTTGTCTCAGTAAGAATGGTCACCAGTACATATATAGGAATGAATTTCCTCAACTGGGGCACAGACAACAATAAAAACTTACATTTGCTTTGAATTCTTACTTTAAAATTGTGATCCACTTTCTGGCATGCCTTTGCTGTACCTAGTCACTCATGTGCTGTAGCCTAATAGCTGTATATCTGCAATGTTAGATCATCTAAGGCACTACTGCCTCTGACTGTTCTGTCTCTGGAGAGTCGGGGTGAGGTTTGGTGATGCTGTACTGCTCAGTGTAAAGTCACTCTTTCAAGCATAGTGGCTAATGCATCAAAGTGTTAATTGTATGGCTTTGAAACTCCTCTTTTCCATAATAAACTCCACCCATTTCATTGAGATGTCACAACAGGTGCAAAATGCTGTCACATCATTGCATGCATGTGTAGGCGCTAGCATTCTGTTACTAGGAACACCATTTCATATACTTCTATCCTATTTGTCTTATTTTCAAGCCACACTAATAGAAGGAAGCATATATATTTTGTTAAACTTATTAAATATCTTGGTGTACCAAGGATTAATTCCCTCCGTTGAATTATTGTCAGATTAATTGCTGCCATACATAAAAGTGGCAGTAGGCTTTTTGAATACTACATTATGTTTTTCTTTTGCGTGTGAGATCACAGTAAGATATTTTTAATGAGTTTCTTTCACACTTGGCCAGCTCGTCTGTAGCAGGAATAAAGTATGACTCTTCCAGAAGATGTGTGTTTACATCATTTTTCACTGGGAGATTTGATTGGCAACAGTGGAGAAATGACTTACTGTTCTTAAAAGAACATTGTGACTGTCTCCTATGAGCCATGCATTAAAGCGATGTCCTCATGAGTGCGACCAGGAAGGTGGACTGCGGGGACAAAGCATGATGGTTATAAAATGTGGAGGGCATTTATTCTTAGCTCACTGGTTATACGCTATAAACTCCAAAGTGTATTATCAACCGTGACTTTTCATCGAACTTGAAAAGTGCAGTCAGGTTTTGGGCTAAAAGGCAACAATGTGTATTATCAACCATGACTTTTCAGCGAGCTTGAAAAGTGCAGTCAGGTTCCGGGCTAAAAGGCAACAACAGCCAACAGAATAATAGGCAGTCGAGCTACAGGAATAGGAGCTGCTAAAAGGTATGCAAATAAGAACACACATTCTTATGATCTGCTCACGATTTCTGTGTTATGATGGTAGTATAGAACATTGATAACATTCTTTAGTGACTAGTTTTGGGCTTGAGGGCTTTGTTTGGTTAATTTTGTGTTTTGTAGGGCTGTTGGACATGGTGGTGCCTCCTTTGCTGGAAGGAATTCAAATGTAACTATAATTAAATACGTTTTAGTATACTTTTTCACTGGTTTTACTTTTTATTCTTCAATTAAAGCGGACCTTTACCCATATCTTTAAAATAACAAGACATCTTTAGAAATGTTTAGTAATGACAATCTACAACACATACTTCTAGATAATTGTCCGGCTTTGTATTCTTTGCATATCTTTTTTGTCTTTTCTTTCCCAGTTTTCTGACAATGGCCATGTTTACTAAGGGCAGATTACTAGCTCTCCATTTATATTCATGGATCTCTGACACATGTGACTAGACATGTGACCATGCACATCATCTCAGGGGAGGAAAATGCTCCCTAAGATCTCCTGAGATTACAGATGAGATTTTCCAGCAATGCTCTGCTGATGACAAGGCAATCCCAGCGTGCATTATTTCGCCAAACTAAAGTCATTTTGCCCTTTCAAAGCAGGAAGTGAATGCTCTGCAAGTATTTCAATATCACGGCATTTGACACCTGACATGTCTATGTTATTATTAATCATCATACATAGAGGGATGCTTTGGTAGAATTCGATTTTTGAGTGTAAAGGACTGCTTTAACATGCAACCCATAGCTTAGGATATCTGCCCCCATCCTATCCTTTGTTCCCCCTTTAACAGGAAGAATAATGCAGCCTTGAAAAAAGAAAATCGTTATACTTACCTTTTTACTTGGTGTCTTCAATCAGGTGCAATAATGTCAAAGGTTCCTTTCACCCATTTCTTTTTTGGCAGTAGGAGGATACTAAATGCTGCAGAGACCAGTGCAATGGCACCATGCTAGCCCCTTTTTTATTTTTCAGCTGCTCTGGGGAATCCAATGTTTCAGACTACGCCCAAGCTCGACTTGGGCTTTAACTTTCCTGATCTGAATGTGTTGTTTACATAACTTGTACATAGGAATACAATTGATCCTTTGATGCTGGTAGCTTTTATTTTTCTATTTATGAAACTTAACAGGGCAACTTTCTAACCTTTCATTGTATGTGACATATCCCATAATAATAATTTAGGTTGCCCAACTTTGTACCTTCTGTAAATATATTATCTTCTCCTTTACATAGTGGTACCCAAAGCCATACTCTGTCCAGGATAAGGCCTTTTTAGGGGAAGCAGAGGCAATACTATGTTTGTACCATACATTTATCTTCCTTTCCATGAACACCTAGATTGTATTAGCCTTTGAAGCTGCTTCTTGAGATTTAATTTCTTGGACTTGGATCACTGTCAATCAGTATTCCCATGTCCTGGGTCACAATGATTTAATTATAGGGCAGGCAAAATCATAACAAAGTCTCCCAGTAAAAGCCAGTCAGGGATGTCAAATAATTTTGAGCATCTTGATTAGGAAATCAAATAACTTTTATAACAGAAGCCCTGTGTTGCAGAAACAAGACAAACATGGCAAAATTACCAATGTATTACATTTAGGGCAAGTTTACACGATTTTCCGGACCAGATCTGGATTGCAGTGCATTGTGTTTTTCCCCAGTTCCGTAGCTTTTTTTTAATGCTTAAAATGGGCTATCAGGTGTGTTCCAGTGCGTTTTGATGCGTTTCCACGCATTCCAGTGCATTCCAGTACATTCCAGACTAGACAAAATGAGACATGCATTATTTTCATGGTCTGGTCTGGAACAGACTGCGCTGGTGTGAAAAGAGGCCAGAAATAGCATAAGGATACATTAGGATGCATTTTGGGTCCGGAAACAATCTGGTCTGTTGTGGAGATGATCTGGATGTGGTGTGAATGTGCCCTTAAATCTCAAAATTACTTTAGCTTTGAACACTATTGAGATGCCCTAAAATACATGATCACAATTTTGCCTTAGTGGTCGTTTTGTCCTTCCAGTCCTCTATGCTGCCTTTCTTCTCATACAGCACTTAAACATTTTGGAACTCCTAAATGTTAGGTCACCCTCTGTGTCATTAAATACCACTTATTTTCATATCTATTCCTTATAATACTGTTTGCCATAGGAGCACGTCATATGAAAATATTCATGTAGAATAAGACCGTCCTTACAGGTGACATCTGGCTGTTCAACAAGGACTCATAACTACTGATCCCTTCTTTTGTTCGATAAGACTTTATTATATATTCTGCATCCTCGCTCAAAGTTTGCCTTCTGTACCTGGACCTGAAAATGTGTTAGACAGATTGGGGGATGACTGACAGATAAGGTGTAGTGTGCAAATGAGAAGTGAAAGGCCTTTAACTTTATTTGAATGTTAATATGTACTGAAAGATGGCTTTCACCTTCACAAATCCTATTCACTGAAACAAAGGGAACGTTTTCTCCTTGTTCATGAGTGTGTGTAATGTACACTAAAGAAAGTCAAAGGGAAGGGTGTACACAACCTGCTGTTCATGCAGTGAAAGGATCACACACGGCTGTCAAGGGTCAGGGCACCCAAGTGCAGGCAAACGTTTTGTAGGTAGTTGCTACAGATTGGTGACTCATCGAATTGGGCTTGCTAAGTGGTTGAATCTAGGTGCAAGTATTCTTTGGCTGTGTTATTGGATACGAGCAGTTAAATATTTTTGAGTTAGTTGTAGACTGGTCCTGAAGGCATGGCTGTATTTACACTTATGGACCAGGGCTTAGGGCAACTGGATAAAGTGACATGGTGGAGGTGAACTATTTGTCGTTTTCTTTTTAGTTGTCCTCTCTGGCCACCTCTGTGTGAACTTTTGAGGTAACAAAGCAAAAAAAAAACCTCAAGGGCCCGGAGTAACAGGACTTCAATAGAATT